TTTTAACTTTTATTTATCTATTAGTATTATAACACCAATACCTACAATATACCCAAATATTCAATACATTTTTAAATACACAGGTACTACTTAGTAGTATATAACCACAATAACACCATATAATGAAATTATTTATAACATATTATCTGCTGTATTAAATTCAGTGCAACAATACTAAAATAATTTGTCAAAAAGTATTCCTCAAAAATGTCAACAAATTTTAATATGGCTAAATAGGCACCTACTTAGAAATAAGAATATATTGATAGGAGAAAAAATTGAAAATAATTTATTCATTAATTCATCCTTTTTGTTTAATAATTAAACACATGTCAAATTCGTGGCCGATTAAGTCGTGTTGACATAAACTCATGTAATAATAATAATAATAATAATAATAATAACAATACACTTGATCGACCTAAGCGCACAACAAAATAATAGTTATAATAATAATGACAGTGCTGTCAACTAATAATAATTATGGTTCCAAAAATATTACTCTTTTTTTTCATAAATGCGATGAAATCCAATAACGGTAAACGATATAATATAATATAACACCGTGCGTTATGAAACACATGTCACTGATTCACCAGAATACGTGAGCTCTTTATTTTTTTTATTTTTTTTTTCTCGTATTCGATGACCATTCAAAATATTAAATTGCTAGTGTGCCATAGTATTCACGCATATACACACACATACATACATGTATACATGTATACAAAAGAAACTAATGTATAATGACGTTATATTTACTGTCACCGACTTAACTGATCTAGGCAAATATTTCTAGCATCGTATCTGTGCTACGGTGCACGCGTGATGTGTATAAAATATAATATTATATGATATTAAAATAATAATATAGTCACATCTTCTTATCCCAAGATTTTAAATATAACCTTTTATGACACATGTCATATTTAGAAAAAAAATCTACCAAAAATACACGGTGAAACATTTCAAATAAATGTCGACTATTTCTTAATGACCCCGCCACTTTATCGTCTTCTAATATTATACAAAAATTATACAACGTGCAGTGCAAATCGACCAAACGCGTATAAACACAAAATGTGTTCTTGCATATAGGTACATGATACCTATATGATACATGAATATATTTATCTGATTTTATCGTTTCACCGTAGGTACCTGTGTGCTTACATATTTTCCCTGGCGGATACGTTGTATACGCGCGCAAAACCTCAGTCCTCTGTTTACCAATTTATGATCTAAGTCCAAAAAACCCCTCATAACCTTAACTGTGCCAAAATACATATTGCATTATTGCCATAATACTATACGTTCCTAAACACTATTTTATAATCATAGGTATATATTTTAATATTAAGTACCTATATTTAATCTATGCGAATAATATTGTGTGTAAAACTTTTATTATTATGTATTAGGTACTTATATTTTTTTTATTGTTATTATTATTGTTGTCGTTGTTATTATGGATAATGTTCTTAATACACAACAAAACAGAGTAGTATAGAAACACGAAGTTTTTAAGCAATAAGAGTTATACAATATCATATGTATACCTACAGAATACACTAATCCGTGAATAACGTTGTTTTTATTTTTAATATTGATATTGATTACTTCAAAATAAAATATAATTATTACAATATACTGTACATATTTAAAATAGTTGATAAATGTAAAATATAGTACATATTCTTCAATAATATTACTATTCCATTTAATTATTTAGCCCAAACACTACTTTAATTAGTTACTTGCATTTAACCTTTGTAATTACACATAGACTTAATAACTCATTCCAATGTAAATTAACTTCCAACTAAAAAAAAAAAAAAAAAATCGGTAACAATAAATCATTGATGCCAATAATTATTTTTAACATATTATATTATTAATTTAATTATTATACACTAGTATAGATAATAGGTAGATAATAATATTATAGTTAATAATTAACTAGACACAGCTCGCGTCTACTTCAAAATATGATTCTATCAACAACACTTGCTGCAGGTACTGTCGACATTTATTTTATGTAAATTACATTACTCGTCCGTACCTACTTCAATAATTTTGAGTTACCATATGTAATTTTTTTAATTGTACCTATTCAATTTAAGGCTATTAAATATTATATTGTGTGTGTGCGTATATGTATTATTTATTTGTTTATGTGTGTGTATTTTTTTTTTTTAATAAATGCTTTTAACTGTGAAATATAATTATCTGTTTATTTATTTATTATTTATTTTTCCCCATAAGGTGGATAGAATCATCATCCCTTAGTATGTATATAATATTATCTCCCACCACGACCTATATTTTAAAAAGTGAAACTAATACAGGAGAAGAACAACTATGGATGTAAAAATAATATAAGCAAAACTATAAAAAAAATAACAACAATAATAATGATATTACATTTGCAAAAACAACTATAATGGCAGAAATACGGCTTCAAACACTATAAATATGCAAAACAAGCCTATTTCAGTCGATGCTTGGATTAAAATTTGAATTTAAATATAAACTTAATAGGCCACGAGAGGCCAAAAATCATCTCACAAAAACTAATGAATCGTACGTGGCTATACATGGTATTTGTAAATGAATAACACTACTCTACTTATAAACTATAAAGTTTAATACTATTTAATTTTTAACGATTATTTCGAATTTAAAATATGATAATATATTTAATTATTTCATTCACAAATAATTTAGTATAATATATAAAGTAACATTTTCTAAAAGTTATTTACAAACGTGTTAAGTATTATTTAAGTGTTTTTAAAACAATTTTTCTCGTCATAAATTTTATATACTATTAATTTTAATCTATCTATGTTTATTTTTCTTTTAAATAAGTTTTAGGTTTATTAAACCATAATAAAACATTATTTGAATTTTAACTTTATATGATTTTTCTTATATACAAAATACTTACAATATTAAATAAAATTATCCATTTTATATATGTAAATGATTACATAATTATAAAAGTATCTATTAGTATATATTATAATATAAAAATATAATAACATTATATATATGAAAATATTATTATTATTATTATTGTTGTTATTATGTTTTTTTATTAAATATATTGTAACTAAATAGTACCCAAATTATCAATGAGTGTAAACATAATTTTTGTGAAGTATTCTAAATTGTTAATTTTGTATTAGATTACATATATTTCAAACACAAATTTACCCAAAAAGTTAATAATACAAGAAACTTTTAATGTATATTTAATTAAAAAAATTAAAATAAGACCATTTAAAATTCGATATAGTAATGTAATGAGATACTGCAATACATTATATAAAATTTTTATAATTTAAATTTTATAAAAAGATCTAAATATAATCAGGTAAGAATAAACCTTAACTAAAAAAAAAAAAAAAATAACAAATTTAATCTAGACATTCTGTTATGTACTGTATAATGTATACAGTATACTTACATCGCATCAAAATACTTATAATATTAAACAAGTAAATACACCTCTGGCCAGAAATATAAATCATTGGAAATGCTAAAGCTAACTTATATAAATAATAACACATCATTTTTTTTTCGTCATTTATTTTATCCAAATAAATATTTAAACGTTTTTATATTGATTTCAACTAGATAAATATAATTTAAACATTTTAATTTTTGTTTTCGTGTTTTTCATAAAAATGGTAGTTTAAAACAATATTTAAATAATAACAATACCATAATTTATTACTTTTAGAACTTTCTAAATTTGTTACAACTTAATATTATATTTTACTATAATATAAGTGTTTTTAACTAACTTTTAGCAACACGAATAATGTTCTTAACTTTAAGTTTGATAATAGATCAATTCACTTTATTCCTTAAGTCGACAACACAATCTTGATTCTATTGAATTCAAATTGGATATGTTAAACGTAGGTCAAAGAAAGAAAACAAATAGTACTATGACAACCTTATAACTATAATGTTATTTTACTCTTGATTTAAAAAAAAAATATAAATATTTTTTTATACAAACTAAAAGTACGAGTACCTACTATTCATTGATTAAATTTTTTCAACTATGTGATTGAATTTTATACTCCTTATGAACTATTAACAAAATTATAGTTTTTTTTCGAAAAATGTATAATATTATTCCATATTTAATTTCATAATGTTGTTTGTTGAAAAAAATACATGTATTAACTATTTTAATTTATTAATTTCATACTTAATATAAGGATAGATAAACATCAATGTGTACTTTAAATATATTAATTAGAGCAGCATTATCTAGTGATATGAAAAATTACTGACGTGGTTGTAAAAAAAAAAAAAAATTAAAAACTTTACTATATACTTGTTTTTAAAAAAAATATCTATTTTATTTAACAAGGTGGTGTACCACTATTTTTAAATGTTTGTTAATTCCGCATCGAAGTTATAGAAATAAGAAAAGTTAAATAAACAAAATTTAGAGCACAGATTTTGAATTTTACTAAACTTTTATTGTTTTATAGAGTATTACAGATACCTAGGTATATTATTATAAAAACCAAATTATTTCAAAATTTTTAATATGAACTTAAAATAGTTTTGTAAAGAATACTTTAATTCTGTTTTAGGAATCCGAATTTAAATAAATAAGTGAATAAATATTAAAATACTTTCTAAAATAAACATTTATTTCTGCTAACCTATGTATGTTTTAAAATGATTGGTAATTAAAATATACTTTTTAGTTAATGTACATTAACATACTATTAAGAGTAAGTTGCTTAAATATCAATCTGTACATTTTTTAACGAAAATTATAACTTATTCATCATGTAAAGTTGTACGGTGAATGTATAAAATAATGAAATGTTGCTTAAAAATATTTTATTTACTTACCCTAAATATTTATTATAATAGTTTTTATAATAGATATAATAATTCTAGTAATATTTATACAAATAAATAAATTCGAAAAATGTAATGTGTTATAACAATGTTTTGGAGACTTAAAAAAAATATTTAGTATACAAATTCAAATATTTTTTCGAAAAGTATTTGATTTAAAATAATCAAACATGCAATCGGCACCCGTTGGTATTTGGTAAGCAATGAACACAATATTAATCGACGACATTTGACTGCGCTGGTTCCTTTTGCTGATCCTGTGGGGAGTTCTCTTCTTCCATCACTCCTTCTTCACTTTCGCCCAAGCCATTCTCAATGTCTGTATCCTCCTCGTCGCGGACCTCTTGTTGGGCCAACCACAGCTTTACTTCACCATCCATCTCATCGAAATCGTATGGGAAAAACTTAATAGCATCGTCGATTCCCGACTCGTGATCCGGACTTACATAATTCGGTCCAACGTCAACAAAACGCAACAGACTCTTATCCTTGTCATCCATGAGTACAGACAACACCAATTTAGCGTCTTTTCTGTAAAAAAATTTGATATTTATAGACACTTAATCTAATAATGCATTTTATCATGTAATTGGACCTAAGTCCGTAGTAAATAAATAAATAAGGCTTGGAAATAAAATATAAGATTCCTCATAGAAGTTCGTAATAGAATCAAAAAACCTAAAAAATATGTAAACTTAATTTTTTTTAAAGATAATTTAGGTTTAAATTTGGACAAAAATCGATATTTAAACAAAGAATAATACATTTTAAATTAAATAAATTTTAGTCGTATTTTTGTCAAAAATACTTTTCGTGAAAATTTGAAAATTTTACATATGTTATTATATTTGATGTACACAATTATATTTTCGAAGCATTAAGATTAATTGTATACTGTTGTAAAGTTTAATAGTTTATACCATACCTATTACTATAATAATTAATAGCAATATATTTCCATACAGTAGACTAATAGATCTTCTCCAATCAGAATCGTTTTTCTATACAAATATTTATCATTAAATTAAAATTTAACAAATATATTACAGTGGCTTACTCAGTGGTAATACACTAATATATAGTAGAGCAGTTACCTATTTTCCTCTTTTTTTCATTTAAAATTCCAAATTTAAATTCAAGAATATAAAAACATTATTTAAATAGCGTAATCAAACGTCGAACCATTATTTACATTTTTAATATACAAATAACATTTTTAAAAAAAAACTGCATAAATTTCACAAATATTCAACGTCCTGATAATCATGCCACTTCGGAAATTTAAAAAGAAAACATTTTTGGATTTAATATAATTTTGTTTTTGTTTTTTTTAGACTACTAACTATTCAGTTATATTTCAGTCTATCTTGCCGATCTCCATGTATACAATAAGTAAAAATTAATATACGATATATAAAAATAAACGTAAATTAACTTTAATACCAATTACTTATTATTCCGTAGACACCATCTGACTGAATTGCGATTTCAAAAAAACGCTCAAGTTAGGTTAGATTTTTTAAACGAAAAATAAAATCAAAATCCCGGTCAGTACTATTAACTGTATATCTATATTCTATTTATAGATTGAATTTTCTATAAATTTAATTTATACATAACAATTTATATTACAATAATACAATAAATTGGATCCCTACCCAACTTTTTCTGTACCGTATGTAGCTAATAATTCGGAATCTTTGCACAGTAGCTTGGGTTTTTCAGGATCAGCGCAACGGAAAAAGGCATAGTTGACAACTTTTTCTTCAAGATCTTCGATTATTGGTAATACGATGTTAGATTTGTTGATATCAAAAATTACAAGATACTGCAAAAAAATAATGCGTTAGCTATATGTGTATAACTAAAATAATAAATATGCGACAAAATTTGAGAATGCACCTTAACGATTATGCAGTGTAGCGATGAAAAAAGTATTAAAACAGTATCTACTTCTGTATAGAATAATATAGGAAACTAAAAACGGCATACGTATGAAAAGATTAGTTTTCTAACCTGTGGTAAAGGTGGCTGAGGTGCAATATATCCATTGTTTTCGCAGAATTTGTCGAACAAAATGGTGAGTGCCGAAGCTTTACTCAGTGGATTTCTAGGAGTGTATAACGATGGTATTTTTTGTCCGGATTCGTTTACTATCTTATGCACATCTGCAAGTCTATGATAAATAATGTCACTAACCTTCACAATTTAGAAACTATAATTTTTGGTATAAGAATTCAAGAATATAAAAAAAAGTGTATCAAAGGTTATACAGTTGGGTCTCGATAATCCGAACACAGGCTAATCCGAAAGACGCGGTAATCCGAACGAGCTTGAGGATTACCTTATCGCTGTATGTAATATGTACGTATGTACGTATGTATTTATAAATAATATTTTTCGCTAATAAAATTTTTCGATTATGTTTGTAATCGCACGTGTATGTCGTTTAGATATGAACGTCGATTACATACGTTCGTCAGTTGAGTGTCGTACTGCATAAAGATCGTTTTACACTGCGTATTGTAACATTTAATAGTAAGGTTCATAATTATACTCATAATTATATTAATATTTTTATATATACATTGTCTTTTGAAATTACAAGTTTTTACACGATTAATATAGATAAAAATAAAAATTCATAATTTAAATTACAATAAAATTGATGTTTTTTTTTAAGCTATAGGTAATCCGAACAAATCGCTAATCCGAACGACCCCTTTCCCCAATCACCTTCGGATTATCGAGACCCGACTGTACCCACATAAAAATTGACTCACAATATCTCTACTAAAATAAATTATTTTAGTGAATATATATAAACAATATTATAGTGTATAATATTTGGTGTATTTATGCATGGTGTAGATCAGGAGTCTCCAAACTCTTTTTATCCAGGGCCACATAAAATAAAAAAAAGCTCTTAACGGGCCAGAATGTATGAACACATATCATTTATAAACTATAGCTTGTAAATTATGGTACATCCGATACAGCTGATAATTACACGTGTGCGCGATAACGATTTTAGAAACTAAACATATTTTTAGATTATTTGCCGTGATTTAATGGACCGGTGAAAACTTGTTCGAGGGCCAAATGCGGCCCGCGGGTCATAGTTTGGAGACTCCTGGTGTAGATAACAAATACTTCATAAAAAAAAATTAGTATAGGAATATTGTATGTTCTAACTTAGAATACATTTTTTTAAACACACAAAATTAAAATTATATTAACTTATAATAATATTATTTATATGAATTCACCAAAATAGTTTTTAAATTTTAATGTATGGTATATATTAATATATTAGTCATAATAAATAAATTAACAATATTTTAAAATTACAGATTTTTTTCTTAAGTCATATGTTTATGGGCTATGGCTACCACATAATTATGATTTTGATGTTTATCTTAAAATTATAAAATTATAAATTTATATACGTATATTAGGTAACCAATCACACTGGTAATAATCTATTTACAACTATACCTATTTCAAATTATTTATAAATAAATTAAAAATATTAAATGACACATACAATTGATACAGTAAACAACTATGAATATCTAGAATAAAATACAATTTAATGTTGATTTAAATTGCTTATTTTACATGTTATAAAAATTTATACGTACAATAATCTTTCAATATTTTCAAGTATTCAGTAAATTTTCTATTTCATGAAAAAAAAATCAAATATATATTTAATTTATCATATAACATTGTATATGCATATTGTATGCATTATACCTAAAAATATATATATAGTATTACGAGTAAATACTTATAAAACTATGATAATATGTGGTGGTTATCAGAGTTATTGATATTTATTTATTTTCCATATTTAAAATATTTAAATTATAATTTTTTTCTTAACATAATTCTTTTTTAAGCAATCTATTAGAATATTAACAACAAGCTTAAGTGATAATTACACAATTATAGACGAGTAATAACCAATCAAAAGATGTCTCATTGAAAATTCTTTATCAAGAGATAGAAGTTACAATTTATTTATATTTTTTTTAATTTATCTAAATAGGTTAGGTTAGATCACCACTGCCTTTTTAATTTATTTTAAAAATTGTTTAAAATGATTACAAAGGGTAATAAGGTTAGCGTTCCATAATAGGATGAAGAGAGAATTGGAAATATATATAATATATAATATATATATATATATATATATATATAAATTATTAATAATTTTTAGTTATTGGAAGTTTAGAAATGACTAAGATCAAAAGAATGAGTAGAGAATTAGAATCATCTAAAAATGTAGAAATAAAATTTTCCAAATTAAAGAAAGGAAAGTAGGAATTTTAGTTTTGAATAGTGTCGTTACCTATCACATCTCCATAGAATTCGTCACGTGTGTTTGTGTATAAAAAAATTTCTTGGTTGACTGTGGAACTGAGTATTAAGATATTTGGACTTGTTTTAAATTGGAAAAATGTCTGAATCGTTGTTGGAGTTCTTTATATAAAGTGCATCATTTATAGTTAGCATTATGCCAATTGCATAGCACGAAAATATCAGGTAGATACTCAAGTGATTTGATACACGATGGTATGAGATGATTTCCACCAGTTAACCCTCAAAATATTTTTCGTTCAAAATTTCTCCAGTCATATTATTTCTTATTTTATGTTTATATTATTTGCTTATTATTTATTCTATTAAAAATATTACATGATATAAATATATAATTTTTATTGATTAATAATATAAATAATTCGGTGTTTTTGGCAATTTATTTTTTAACTTACGTATTATCTTAAAATAAACAATTTTTAATGAAATGTACATACCAAAGATTTTTTAAATAAAAAATTATACGCTAAACCTGTTAAACAGTTAAATATAGTAGAATGTACATAGATAGTAACCACTTATTTCAACTGTCTGTCTAACTTTGTCGTATATTTTTTTTTGTAAGAGGTAACTCGCCAGATATATATTTTTCAATTTTCTGTTTCTTAAGGTCCTACTTCATTGTTACATTATTTAAATTCTTTTCACTGGATCTCAGTAAGCTATGTAAATATCCGTCTTGTGCATATAGCTTTTTACCTTTTTGGCTATTTACAAAAATAATAATTTGACATTTTTCGTTTTTCCAATTTCAATTCAATATAACAACGTATTAGAAACGATCAACGCACATAAATGTAATGTCGTTACTTTATCGAAAATTGCGAAGGTCTGTTTTGACGTATTTTATCATTAAATAAAAAATAAAAAATTATTATAAAATAAAGAATAATATTACTAAAAATATTTTTATTTTTGATATTTTTAATCTAGAATATTTGTCACGGGGATATTTTGAACGAGGGAAATTTTGATGCATAGAATATTTTAAGGGTGCACCGATTTCCACCGCATTTGACAAATTTAAGAGAATAAAAGCAATAGTTTTTAATAGACCTAAACTAATTAGGAAATTTTTCATTATTTTTATAGCTCTTATATATTTACTTTGGTATGAAACATTGAAGTTATATTAAAAACATAATTTTAGTTTCCATCGGGCTCCAAGTTGACGAAAAACATAAGTGGTGAATTCTTGGTTTAGTAGTGCAGGATATTATTTACTCTCCTAACGGAGTGGCAAATTTCCTCTTATATTTAATACTGAGCTCACTTCGGAAACAAGAGTCGATGGATGGAGATTTTCTTGCTACTACTATATATGTTTTGTCAAATTGCAGTCGATTTACGTGAAATTTAGCATCATTTTTATTTAGGAGATAAATTATTTTTCTGTAGTTTTCTATAGTATTAGATTGAAGTTTAATATGAGTAGAAGTTGATTTACAACTAAAACTGTTGAGAAAATTAAATCTGAGAATACATGTCTTAATTTAAAAATGTTTATTAACCAATTCATGAATATTGGAGGTGGCAAATCTTTTTTTTTTGTGTATGTATAGATGAATATTATGAACCTTGACTGCGTATCAAAATCAATTTTATTATCATTGTTTACATTGGTAGAGGTGGTTAGTACTGAGACAAAATTAATGAAAGCTGAGTATCAGTTTAGAGAGATAAAATATTTTATTTTCGTAGTGATGGTGGTAGAGGTAGAAATTTTCGGCGACAGAGGTAATGGCCGTTTACAGATGGCAATTAAAAATTATTATTATTATTTTTCTTTATGAATATAATTTTGATTACTTAATTGTTAAATAACGTGATAAATGATACAGTTAGTTCTAATTTTAAAATATTGTTAATTAGTATAATGAGTTCATCATTATATTGTTCAGTTATAATTTATATTATAGTTAAATTAAAATTACTATTCCACGGAAAAATGGAAAAATTTGACTGTAGAAATACTAAATTCTTACACTGCTTAAAAAAAAAAAATGCATCAATAGGTATTACAATTGATGAATTAAGTTAAAATTAATAACGTTAATCTGAACAATTCACGAGAAGAAAGTAACACGTGTGCACTGCACGACATATGTGTGCCTATTATTATAATAAGTAAATATAATTGTACACGAAATTACGTTAACGCATATACACCGCCTCACATACGTATTCAGAAACTGTTTAAATACTTACGAATTCGGACTAGGGCTTAGTGGAGTTCCATCGCCGTAAACAATTGTACTTAGCTTATTTTCTATAACTCCCATCAAATCGATAGGCTCAGATACATTTTCATCTTCTGTACCGATTTCTTGGGTAACAGTATCATGTTTGATAGTAGGCATTGACAACATTACCGAATATACTTTTTTACTCAACAGTTGATCGACCAATTCTTGAGAAAAACTTTCCAGAAACTCTTTTTCCGTGAAAAATATCTAAAGCAGATTAATGTAAGTATCAGTATGTAACATATTAATTCGTATATAGTTTCCAATCCAAATAGGTAGTTATAGTTATAAACGAAATTATTATAATTTTGTAAAATCATATAATATAATACTCTTTTACTTAGTTATAGTGTATTTTTTAGCATATTTTAGCACTTAGCGAACCGGTTTAATCAAAATTTTAATTGCAGTCTAGGTAATATAACATAACAGAATATTTTGTACGCTTTGAATCGTTTATACAATCATTAATAATTACATAAATTTATTTTTAAATCTATTGAACTTTTAGTTAACAATAAAGTTGTTTATCTCCAACTACTTCAATTATCAATCATAAAATAATATAGAGGGATTTTTTTACATTTAAACTGTACGAACAAGAGAATAGCCTCACTACTATACCTCAGAGTAAGTACCTATAATAAAAACGTAGAGTGACGCTTGATATTTCCTCCGTTGCATTGAAAAACATTGAAATCCTAAAATTATAACTAAAAAAATTATGTATCAACGAAAATTCCATGGTATCGTAATTATATTGTTCATTGGTTGCCTAAAACATATCATAGATACTAAAGCTAAATTATAATATTATAACATTTATTTTATCTTTCTTATTTTTAACCTTTCGTGGCGATTATAACGGTCAAGAAAAAATGTTGAATCCAACCATTTAACAAAAAAAAATAATTTACCCAGTGACCACCTGATGTTTTAAATGTAAACTATACGAATGAATAAGTGAGTCCTAAGAAGTGCTGATAAAAAATAATGGTAGGTATTAACCATGTGACACAACTTTATGAAATGAATGTTAAAACCTTCTAATTTAACATTATATCACCTATGTTGCTTTTAACAACCTATATACTATATAATTTTATTACAAACCTTATTAGTACATTCTTATTAAAATTATCACTATAAAAACATGTTTACAATTAATATTTTTTCATCCACCGAAAAAAATATCAAGTAGCTCATTAAATTTTATTTTTAACCTAAAATACGATGCAATTAAATTTAATGAAATTTGTTGCATAACATACTTATTTAATACACATTTCCACAAGACTTTTGTTATAAAAAAACATTTGGAACAAATAATATTTCTTTAAAATATTTTGAGATTTTTCATTTTTTCAACGATCTCAAACATTTTTACTTACAAATATAATAAAATATTTTAAACTTTACCTCATTCAAATTATCTTCTGTCAACTCCATTTCTGTAGTTTCGATAATAATAAGTTCCTCGTATTTACTAGCACATAAGCTAGCCACTTCACACACACTTTTTTCTACCATCACAGGTTCAGAAGGTTTGTCTAATTCTTCGGCATCAACTGGTTTTTCCACCATAATACAGTTGATCGTGTGAGGGAAAAACATAACACACGTTTGATTTTGTATGTTAACCGAAAATTTTTTCAGAGAATGTTCTCTTGCTTTCATCATTCTAAAATCTTAAATTATTATAACCATTTAAGTCATAGTAATGTTATTTATCAAAACTATTTAATTGTTATTATATTTTATTTTTTATGATATTTTTCATAGTTATTTTCTATTGAGTCGCCATTAATTAAACATATTAGTTACACTGTACATTTTTTTTTTTGTTTCATCACTCTAAATTTATCTCAAACGGTTTAATAACAAATTTTAAATTTATATGGCTTAATAAGTTCTATAAATTTTTAAATTAAATTTATAAATATTTATTTTAAAATATATGTGTGGCCAACAAACCAGACTTAATAATATTTATATCAATGTATAAATATTATATAGTCCATAACTTTAACTGCAAAAAGATTGATAAATGGGTATTCGCAATATAACCTACACAATCAGATACGATAGATAAATAGATAGAAAGTAAACAGTCTTAAAATATTATATTGATAAATATTAAGTATTAATCAATTTTTCATTTAAATATAAAATAACTAAAAACAACTTATAGATATATTATATTCAATATCCTTAAAATTATGCATTATCAAAAGTTAAAATATAGTAATAATACAAACCTCTTATTTTTTTTTCTTTCTTTGTTTTCTGTTTTTCATAGTTTTCACTTTCGATTAATTTTTTTTTTTCTTCATCGGTTACAGTATCCATTGATATCTTGATTTAAAAATATATATTTGAGCATTACTTAACACAGCTATTTGTGGTATCCATGCACTAAATACGTATACCACATATGTTTAGATACTTACAAACTCTCTTTGGATTTCACCATTCTTGAACTTAACATACTGTTCCAACTCCTCCACTATTAATTGCATTAGCCTAGGAGCATTGGTGCCAATAATGATATTGACTAACTTTCCATCCTTTTTTTATAATTAATATTGAAAAATATATATAAATAATTAAAATTATCAACAAAATAACATGTTTTATTTACTTACATAAAAAAACATCCAATAGGACTCACTTTTTTGTCGATATCTTTTTAGCACATTTATGTTGTCAGATTTTGCCTAGAATTGTATTATCATAATCAAATAGCTATTTTCTAATTAAAAATATGATTCAAAAGCTGTACAATATTACACACGATAAATATGATTATTGTTGGTAATAAGTAATAACTAATAATAAGTTAATTAAAAACTATACGATTAATACGAAAAAAAAATTGAGAAAAAAAATGTTCTTATTAATATTAATCATATTAATCAGTGATTAATAATCACAAGCCACATCGTTTATTATTTTATGTTATAACCTGTACATTTTTTTTTTACACAATATACAATATACTGTGCGTATAGTCTGTCCAGCGAGAGAACGCGTCACGCGCCGACCAAAATCGGTACGTTTTCGCACATCCCCGCGCGTACCCAGCCTAGTGTGCCAACCGGCTCCCGTGGTTGTCAGTCTACATGCGCAGAAGCGGCGCGTTCTCTCGCTAGATAGACTTGTAAATGAAACTTGATACTAGAAGGAGATAAGAGGCTTAACTAAATATAACTAGATTTCAACTCCACCTCGTAAATCCCAAACATTTAAAGCGCAAGCTAAAGAAGTAAAGTTGATCTGGGTGCAAACCGAACTTAGTTAGACAATCTGTTTGTAGATAATTGGATAGCATTGTTGAATTTTAGAATTAACAATTATTTAAAAACTAATTTGCAAAATTTTGATAACATTTTTTAACTGATGAGATCAAGTTAAGAACTAATTTTACATTGTTACACGTTAAATATTAATCTACTTTAAATAATAATATGGGTGCAATTGGGAACATGTGTTTCTGCACATAATACACTGAAACACCTAAGAAGGAAGTGATACGAGAACCTACTCTATTTTTAATATTTTATATTTTACATCTAGTTTACTAAATTACTTGTAGGAACAGATCGTAAATAAACCTAAGATTTCAATAAGTATAAAAAATGTATATTTTCTATTCTCAAAAAAACTTTGTCCAAAACTTCAATTAACTTTGTAAAAAATATTTTAATCAAGTATTAATTTAATATGCAAATTTTAAGATACAATTAAAAAAATAATAAAAATATAATTCCATCACCTTGGAAATATTTTATCTTGTTATGTACCAAATGATGATAAGGATAACCAATAAAACGTTTTAACTACAAAACTAAAAAAAATTAAAACTAACCCTAATTTATTCAGTTAACTATAAATCGTCGTTTAAACTCATGTATTGCAATATATTTCAATTGTTTGTACAGTTACTGCCATTTATTGCATATGTTAATTGTATAATGTAAAGACAAAGAATATTTACTATAGCATAATGTAGATTTTCACTGCCTAATTCCAATTTAATTTTTTTTAAGTACGCCGTCATTGGTATGCAAGGGCCACACCATTCTGTATAAACGTCCACGACTAAATAAAAAATTGGTAAGTAATAAACATAAACATTTTATATATTTTGTTTTAAATATTAATTTATTTTAATACTTTATATTTTAACATTAATTATATTATTTTAAGTTTTTTACCATACATTCCAGGTTTTTCTATAATTTTTGTCCAATCATCATCGTTGTTTATTTCTTCTTGAAGCACTGCTTGCCCACCTTTTTTTGCCATCCGTCCGGATCTCTTATTCTGATTAGTCTATTCATTAAATTTCATTATTTCAAAATATAATACACTAAATATTTAAACATAAATTAATTATAAGCTATTGTACAATTAAAATAACAAAGACAACATTTTACTTTGTTTATTTTTTAGTTGTAAAATACTACTTAAAATATACATTTATCTTATTTAATAGTACGCTTTATATTTATGTGTTTTATTCATGCTTATTTTCTGTACATTCTTCCTTATCATTTCGGTATTTAAAATAAAGATTTAATCGTGTAACCACATTTGTGTAAATTGTACATTAGCAACATAAATACATTATAATATAAGACTAGAACTTTTATAATAATATATTTTATGAAATAAATAATTTAATAAACATTTAGTCAATTTAGCACTCAAATATGACTGTTCTATTCATGTAATACAACCATAATAAATAATATAGTAATAATAACATAATAACTTCGCGTTATTACACATAATTACTGGAAAAGATGGATTACTCCAGGTATTATAGGTCATACTAGAACTTTAAGTTTAACAATCTAAATTTTATTCAACTACAAGATTTAAGGAAATGGGATTATTTTCAAAGATCTTTTTTTTTTATAATATTTTATTATATGTTTACACATAATTTAATTTACTAGTATAGCTAATTAAAATAATTTGATATATTCTCATTTCTCTCTGTTCAATTATTTATAAATACCATAGTTTAAATTTGAATTTACTATATAAATGTGTAACGTTAATTCTTGTAATTTATAGTTTTATAGTAAAATTTTAAGTAAAAAAAAAAAAAAGGTAAATTTATATACATCATACAGTTCTTCAATAATTAGTCGTTATACTGTATAATTGTCGTAATATGGTAATTTTAATTAATTTTTGACAAAATCATTATATTTATTATATTAACATTATCATTTAATAATTACTATAATAAATATTTAAATACCATAAATAAAAAAAACAACAACAATGCCATAAATCGTTTAAAATTAGTCTAAAAATTTTAAAAATGTCATTAAGTGAAAAAATTTGTAATTTAAAAAGTAGAGGAATATTTTAATGAATAATAGGTTAAAAATTACAATTGAAAAATTAATACTATTTGTTGAAAATCTTTAGTTAACGCTTGAATATCCAATTTTTAAATTTACAGTGAAAAATATTTATAGGTTTAAGTTAAACTTACATAACGCTTTTAAGAAAAACTAATATGAAAGATATTAGATATTTAATTACATTAAATTTTTAAAATTAAAAATTTTAATTTAATTTTTAATTTTTAAAACTTTTTTTTTATATATTTTAGTAAATGTAAGAAATTTTATTATAATTATTTGCAAATTTTGATATTTTAATGAATTTCATAAAAATATGAACTTGAAACGCTTAAGAAAAAATAGTAGGACTTAATACTTTCAAATTTTTTAATTAGTATACGAGTAACGTATATTTAATTTTCAAGCATCTTTATCCAAAAACTATATCACACATAAAAATCAAAAAACAACAAAAAAAAGTCAAAAGTTTAAAATACTTAAAGAAAAATTTTAAAAATAAGAACAACACAAAATAAGCCAATATTAATTTTTCTATTAAATGCTAATATAAATATTTGGTGGAAATTTTATGTCTCTATAATTATTCATTTTTGAGTTATAACAAAAAAATAAAAACAATTTTGTTACAAATTTATTTTGCTAAAAATTCCGGTTTTCTCAGTTATTTTAAAAATTATTATACATTTTTATTTGACTAAAGTATTGATAGATTTGCTATTAGAATCCCTCAAAGTTGAAAATCACTAATTGACAGACTCAAAAATTAAAATTAAAAACATGTACAATGAACACATTCAACATTATTCCATTCAAAATCTAAAACAAATTAATGCTTGAAAATACTACTAGATAGATAAATAAATATAATATTTATTAGATAATTGTGTCTCATAATAGGTATTATTATAATTTATAATTAAAGTTTACAATATCGAAAAAACGGTGTCGATACCAAATACGATAATATTATGTGAGCAGGTTATTTTATTACATACCGTTTTTGGTGGCATTTTCAATAAAAATTATAATCCAATTTAAAATAAATATCACTACTTCACCAATTCTATATTCATAGCACTGAATACAATGATCGGTAAACACGTGCCGTGAGTCTATTTATATAGGAACGTTTAAAACCTTTTTGTTTGTTACCCTTACCTCACGACATTCTAAAAGTTAAAATACTCTAGAAGTTTCATAAAATAGATATTTAATAGTTTAAATGATACAGTATAAATTAAAAGCGTGCGTATACTGCAGGGAAAGCAGTAAAGTTATCAAATGCGTATGACGTGTATAGCGGAAATTAACAGCGTGATGAATGCTTCAATGAACATAACGCTCCTTTGTACCCAAAAATGGTACGACAAACCCAAGAAATTAATCTATTTTAATGTATATACAATTATATATATATCAGTGCCATAACTAGGGGGGCATAAGGGGTACGTGCTTTCCTCGTAAAATATTTTTATTTATTTTTTTATGGGCCGTAATGTAGTGTACTGCGGAAATTCATTATAAATTTTATCATTAATATATTAATACATACAAGGTGACAAATTACCTATTTGTAATTTCTATTCGTAAAAAGTTTATATATTTGTTCTATTTTTAAATCATTCGTAATATCACAAATGATAGGAATTAAAATTCATCAAATATATATAATAAAAACGATAATAAGCATGGATCTTAAATAAGAAACACCAATTTGTATTATTTTTATTGCAAACGCATTTATAATAGTAATAGTATCATCTATGTGGTAAACATGATTATCAAACCATAACGTAATAATCACGTTTTCGCGGTAGTACTGAGAACAATATAAGAGAACTGTTTACTAAAAAATAAAAATTGTTTTGATGATAATTTTATGTCAAAACTGTTTAATGTACAGGCACGTAGCCGGGGGGGGGGGGGGGGTAGACCGGCCCACCTTAAATTTACTCTGGCCTAGGGCCGGCCCTTACCCCAATTTCAAAATATAATTTTATGAACACATACAAGGCCGTTGACGTAATGACGAGTATACGCATCCATCTATGGACTCTTCATTCCAACTGTCCTGTGACGCGTTACGCGTCAGAAACGACAAAAACATATACTTTGAAAGTTTTAAATCTACTATAATTCAGTCATTTTTATTTTAACAAACTCTGAATCCTACATGGGTCATAAAAAATTAAGTGAATCAACTTTAAATTTAATTTAATGGTCGGAATTAGTTTTTGTTATTTTTAGATATCGATAATCGTTGTTTCTAAATATTGTGGTTGAGTGTATAAAAGCTATATAAGGCATAAGCTATTTTTACTATTACTTCAAAATGAACAAATATAGAACAATAAGTTATAGCTACTCTTATATTGGTTTGAGTGATCTATTTCATTCATATTAAACCTAGCCGAATGCTGCTAATCGTCTGATCGTGTGTTGTACCTACCGTTGTGTGAACTGTGAATAAATGTATTAATGCAATGAAACGTTTAGGTTAGATTTAAGACAACATATATACATATTTTCCTTGGATTATATTATAAAAGAACTGGATACACGATTTACAGATAATTATTGTGTGTTGTCATCAATATCTTACTTACATCCCCAAAATGAAGAGTTTTTAAATAATGAACATTTGAAACCTTTAGCTGTTCATTATAATCTTGATCTAAAAAATCTAAGGGCAAGACTAAAAATTTTACCAACAACTATCAAAAAATATAAAATTGATTTTAATGTTATGGTAAACAACCTAATGAATCTAATTAGTAATTGAACTACTTGAGAAGCATAAGTTAACTTTCAATAAAACTTATAAGCTAGCTACTATTGTAATAACTATTCCAGTATCAAGTACAGCTTGTGAAAGAACTTTTTCATATTTGAAAAGACTAAAAAATTAAATGCGAAATCAAATTACAAATTATTGTTTAAATAATTTGGCTTCAATAAGCATGAAAAAAAAATATCTAAAAATATAGATGTCGATATTTTTGTTAAATTGTTTTCAGAACATCACAAAAACAGAAAACTTCATATGCTATGAACAATAAAACAATCAAACGGTTAGTTATAACTATTTTCTTTCCTTACCTCCATGAAACATATTTATAAAATTATAAATAATAAATGATTGGTAATAGAAGACAGTGTTGTCACATTTCTTTTCAAATTCTCAATTTCATGAAAAAAAGTTTGTTTTTCTAAATTTTCTTCACTTGTGTATTTATTAACTTTCTATTCCATTTGTGTAAGATCAGCTATTGCTAGTTTTATATTAAATTACGAATATATTAGATAAAAGTTATAAGTTACAATCTTGTCAGTGAAACTATTTAATCGAATAAAAAATGAATTGGTTTGTTAACAACACATATTAATTAATACGTTCATCTGAGGTTTATAATAATGTTAATATATTTTTATGTTAAATGTAAACCATAGTTGCTAGCATAATAAATAGTCTTGAGAAAAAAAAGTACATTCTAAATTCTAACATTGCAAAAACTTAAGGGAAAATAAGTGTCCTGTCACTCCATCTCCCTCCTCACAAAAAAATTTGATTACGGCACTGACATGTGTATAATACAGCAGTAATTAAAATGTAGTACCTTAAAAAAAATAAATAACAAACCCGTCAAACTACACTCTAGTCTCTCCTGCGAAAAATACCATGTACTCCGACTTTGGCATATTCGTAAGTTTTAATTTAGTATACGCCATGATCAAATAAAATTTTTATAGAAGTAGGTACGTATTGCTGAATATTAGAGTCGACTCTACACTTTTCACTGCATGCTTGTTAACCATAACATCGTTTAAGGGTTTATCCGTTATCGGGCTGTCTTTTTCCGTGACGTCGTACTAGCATGAGACGTCACAAAGAAGCTGTCTAACCTTATTTATCTTGGTAAAGCACGATTGAGCATAGAATATTTTATGCAATGTTGCGAACATTTTTTAGTTTATTATTTTCACATATTATTAGACCAATTATTATGATATCATATCAGACGCAAGCTGTGAGCCGGCCCAGCTTTATCAACAATGTTATCGATTAATAAATTAGTTTTAGAGCAAAAAAAGTTCTACAGCATTTTAAACATTTAGCATTGGGGGAAAATATAAGATAATTAAGATACAATTCCAAAATTATTATAGGTTATAGAAATAATATCAATGTTCGATCACCTATCACAGTGTCACATAAAGTGCGTTTCCTATATAAATGCGTATAGTTTCTATTTTTTGTAATATGGATTTAGAAAATATAACTATTATTTTGTCAGAAAGAAGCAAAGAATTGGCCCTAGTTAATTTATACCAATATGAATTAATTGAAGAACAAAAAAAAGATAATCTTTTAAGATGGAGGTGTACCAATAATAAATGTTAAACAATAATTTTCTAAGATTTAAATAAACGTAAAGTGATTAAAACTTCTGGATAACATAAACACGATCAAAATTCACTTAACAAAATAGAAACACAAATCTTAATAGAAAATTGCAAAAGAAAAGCTAAAGAATTAATTTCCACACAGTCAATTAAAATTATTCGCACAGAACTTTTAAATTTAAATTCATCTTCAACATCAAATGTAAGTAGTCAAAATGTAAAAAATATACGGAAAGCAATGTATGATAAATGGAAGCAGACCTATCCTAAATTACCAACTTCTATGGATTAATCAATTTATCAATTAAAAAACTTACAAAATGAAGAATATTTTAAATTTAAAGGTCAACATTTTGTTCACATGCCGACCGATGATAATTTTATATGTTTAACTACGAAACAAAATATATAATTTATGACAAATAATTGTACTGAGTATTTTGGCGATGGCACATTTAATTATGCTCCAAAATATTTTATTCAATTGTATACAATACATGGATATAAAAATGAATACTACTTACCACTTGTTTATTTATTTTTTTTTTTTTGCAAAATAAAACTAGGTCTGCTTATGTTAAAATTTGGTAATTTTTAAATAATTTATGTTAAAAATTATGCAGAAAATATTTGCAAATTAACACATTTCATGTTGATTTTGAAATTGGAGCTCATCAGGCAATTACAGACGTGTTTGGAAATATTAAAACAATTGGATATAGATTTCATTTAGGACAATCATGGTGGAGAAAAGTAAGAAATAATTATTATTATATAATTATAGTATTTATAGATTATCTGTATTGTATATAATATAGTACTTTTAAAATATAATTATTTGTATGTAAATTTTTGATGAACCTTCTCTCAAAATAGCATACATGGATAACAGTAATGAACTAGGGAAATGGTTGAAAAGGTTTTTTGGTTTAGTCTGTCACACCTGATGACAGTTCTTTACTCTTACAAATCTACGAATAAAATGGACAAACTATTAGTGTCGAATTGATAATCCATTCAGCTCATGGATATTTTCAGGTACTCACGAACTAGCCAGTCATCTAGAGATATTTCCAGAAATTTGCGCTCATAACTCGCTTTAGTCACAAAAATGTAATTGAGTTTTATACTTAAAGACAATAACATAGTTTTATACAATTATACATACCTATATACATATAATGGTCTTATAATAGTTTTTAATTTATAGATTCGTGTCAACGTTAATAATCCAAAATAATTCAATAATAATACCATTAAACTATGAATACAAAAATGTGATCTTTGAATAGTTGAAGCATCAGACTTATTAAATTATTTAATAATTTAAATAATATTTAAATAATATTTAATAATATTTATTATTATTATTTTTTATTTAATGTTACATGATGTTTAATATTGATGACTCATTTTTTTACATAGTATAATATAGTCATTACAAAAGAGTATTTTGGAAAAAAAAATTTAATTATTTTACTTTTTTGAATGACAGATAACAGCATATATTATGTTTCAATAGAATATTTTTCTAAAAATATAATAAAAGTATAAAAATAAAATTTCTAATAAGTAATTTATTATTTATAAGTTTTAAGCTTTGGATTACAAAAGTAAAGGACCTATAGATGTTTAATCTAAAATTTAAATACTTAAAAATTATTAACT